CCTGCTGATCCCAAAACACAATGATATAAAAATAAATTTCATCTCATCTATAAAGTTTTATGAATTACGATAAGCTGTCTTTGTATGTATGCATATGTGTGTGTCTGTATGTTATGTAATTTATGCTTACTTTAGCCCGAAGCTTTTTCAAATAAAATTAATCCTAAAAATGAAGCATCGAAAGGAAAACAATCCTCCATATCTGTCCCTAAGAATGTTCGCACAGTAGGTATAATATACTTAAAAATAAAGAAACTGTTTCATTAAACACAGATCGCTCAAAACTTTGTCTCCTCTTCTGGTTATAAAGAATGAGAGAAAATGGGATAAATGTCATTCAGTTTTGAAAATTTGTCAGCTGCAAAGCTTTATTCCAATAAAAGAATTACATATTATTTGCAATGCACACTGCGTCATGTTAAAACTAAGATATCCTTGGCAAAGTCTGATCTCACCCGGCCGTGACTTTTACGGGCGGGGGCTGGGGGGTGGCATTCAAAGAAGGCAAGGGTCATAACAAGGCCTCCAAGAGGTAAAAATTTCTAAACAGGAAAATAACTCTCTAATTAAGTAGCCAAACAGACAATGAATGAAAATCTCCACTTAGAAACACTGTCACAATTTTTGGTTTGACACATCTAAGTATCTGAAAGGGATACATCATACGATCTAACCAATACTTTTAGCCTCTACCAATAGTCACTGAATGGGACCGATTGTAATTTCGGGTCTTTCTCCCCTACAGCACTTGTAACTCTTGCAAATGTTACTTCAATATACCATGTTATGATCACATAGCTATACTGCTAGTTTTTCCCACAAGGAAATTATTTATTAAGTAGCTTGAGTCTGTTTTCCTTCCTACCTAGGATCCTGGTGAGGAAAAGACAGTTTTTGGTAGAAAACTGAGGCTGTGAAGGTGAAGACAAGATTATATACCTTCAGAAAGGTTCCAAAATGGTTTGTCAGGGGAAGAGGTTTAGAAAAGAGGCTGGACGCTGCCACTTCGCCTTCCCTCAGCAACACCCGAAGCTACCTGGGCACTAAGGGGGGGGTCGGTCAAACACCCCCAAACCCTAACTCCGAGGCCTCATGAGAACTGTCAACACGTGCTGTAGTGCTTCCCACACTGGTCACTCTTGGAGATTCAAAACCAACGCCAGGAAAACGACAGTAATGACACTAAAAACCAGCCTGAGCCTCAGAGAAGATACTAAAAGGCTGCAAAAACCTTTGCTTTGCTTGCTGTTCTTCCATGTAAAGACACATCTGCAACCAAATTAAAAAAAAAAAGTGAACAGTAAGTCATACATTTCAGTAGGTGTAAACATTTAAGAGCTATGTAGTCTTGCTGCAATTAAGATACATCAACTGTAAGTCTAACATCGAAAGTAGAAATGATTTTAGAACGTATATGATCCCTAACGGCCACATTTGAAGGAGAAGACTGAAGCTTGAACCTGAACTAGAATTGCTAGGAAGCTGCTCTGGCTTCCCCACTGCCGGACCCTTTAATAACGCCACAGGCCACCTGCCAGGCTCTTCCTGTGCTCTCATCCTGACCACGCTTCAGGGCTCCACCTCTTGGCGGAAAGCGAAGAGGGTGCGAATACACAAGCGTGCTCAGTTCAGGGTGGTAGGTAAACAGTTCTTACCTCCAAGGATCTCAGACCACGCTGTGTGCTGTAGAGACAGCACTAGCAGAACTGTCTTCTTTCTTTCGCGTTTATTGCCACATTCAACGATCGATATGATTTAACCCCAAATGATGAGGAATTGCAGCCTAATAAAACTGGTCCTCATCTGAATGGCTGCCTGAGAGCAGCGGGACACACACCATAACAACCCAAGTCTTCCAGAAGGTTTCGCAGCTATGTCTAGAGATGACACTTAAAATCATCATCATGAAGTTATGTAAGTATGAAACACTGACTCAACAAGCCTGCTTTCCTTGGCTTCCAGCACATTTCCTGCAGCCTCCAAATAGATCCTCTTCCGTCCTTAAACGCTGGTATTTCTGGGTTCCACATGATCCTCATTCTCATTCTACACCCCTACTTCGTCCCTAACCCTGCCCTCACCCAAAGCATTCCCAGACACTCCAGGCGGCCCCTCCCCCACACTCCGCCGCCCCCATTCCCCAGCGCCCACGTGGCCAGTCACCCTGGACCCTAACCCATCATGCACACGTACAGTACGACCCGCTGCAGATCCCCCACCAGGAGCCGTGAGTTCCTTTAACTCGAAGG